GTAGATTCTTATTCTTTTTGAATTTTCTAATTTGGACAAAAATTGGCCGAGAAATTTGCAAAAAGGGGCGCGGGGAAAAAGTTCCCCCGCGAGGCGCATACATAAAAAAACTTGCTCCTGTTGCGAAAAAGAAGCGCGTGAAATCACACATCAGCCGTCAGAGAATTGGAACGTTTTCAATTTGCCACAATTCGAAAATCGGTTCTTTCCAAACACGACCACCCCAACTAAAAAAGCCGCGAAAACTAGCGAAATCAACTTAGAAAGAGAAACTTAGACGAGCGCTTTTCTTTTTGACTAATTGCCCCGTGATTCGTCAAAATTCGGCTTCTCGCCGAAAGAATAGAACGATTCAGTTTTCAACGAAAATGTCTTTTAGACTGTCTATCAGACAATCAATATTTTCTTATTTGAAGATGTCAGTATTTTGATAGATTGACGCATGGAGTTCAAAAAGTCGCGCGAAATTCTTGCTTGAAATCCGTCTAAATCCATGAATTACAAAATTCGAAACGTTTAACCCTTCGTTGACCTATTCACGTTGTGCTAGACGCGCCTTTATTCCGCCATCTTTGCTCAAGCGGGTTAATCCTAAGCCAACTAGTTAAGGTAAATTCAGCTGCAAAAATAGCTTCAGCTCATTTATTTCGCCCAACGCCCTTTTCTTCAAAATTTAAATTAGAGAAAATTTTTTAATTGCTCGTGACACCCTTAAGACAATGTCCAATAGTAACCAAAATAATATAGAAACCTCGACTAGCCAGTTAGGGGCGAGAAAGTATGCTTGTTTGAATTGATGCAAATTCGAGCTTGTTATCAAAATCGCCAGGCATTTTGTCAAAACAAAAATGACAAGCATAAATAGGCAAAAACGTGAGAGAGGGATGTTGCTTGGGGATTTTTTTCGAAATTAATGATTTTACAAGAAACGGCCCGGTAAGGAGAACATGGGGTTACTAACGCTTGGAATTTTAATTTCATAAGAAATAATTGATAAAAAAGAAAAAATAAAAAAAATTTTTTTTGAAAAATTTTCCAATTTGAATTCGATTCTATCATTCTGTCAGTTTTGCTGACGGCTGATAAAGCGAATTATAATATTTTCCCTGTCCCCGCCCCGTGGTTCTAAAGTTTCTCACTTTCTCACCGAAAAGAAGCGAGGATGATGGATTACATGTCAAAAGTGGCACTTGTCAACGTGTAACCCGCAAAATAGAGGTACTCTAGTTTTCTCTCTTGGGAGAAGTTCTTGAGTCGCTAGAAAAGAAAGAAATGATGATTCAGCAGAATAAGATACAAGGGTCGAGAATTCGCGTTAAAAAATTCCACCAAATTTTGAACGGCGAAATCAGATCGAGAAAAGGGATTACGCAACGGGGGACAGAGGGATTGAGATGAGATTTGTAGATGTCGATTAGACAAAGAACTATGGATCAAGAAAGTTTAAGGGCCTCCCTGATCGTATTTTCTTTTCTTGGCTTGATTTATTGATCATGAAAAGTTCAACTAAATAAAGAAATGTATTGAGCAAAGAAAAGCCGCGTGCGGCTAGAAATATTTCTGAATAAAAAGCCGCGCTTTTTGCGGCTTAAGGGTATACTCATCGATTTTGGTCGGGTCTTTAATCGGCGAAATCGAGGTCTATACCCTTCAATTTTAGTTCATTTTAAGCCGCAATAAAACAGTGACGCCCTTATTTCAAGGTTTGTATGAAAAATCTGATGCTATAATAATGACTTCATCATCAATTGAACGATTTTCTAGCGCTCCAGAATTTATCCGAGTCGTCATTAAAGAAGTCCACGTAAATCCGCACCGCGTAATTTCGCCTCAAAATGATTGAAAAAGAAGAGAGTGTCCAGCTCTGTCGAAAATTCCCTCGAAATTGAATTTATCCTTATCAAAGTCCGGCTGCTGGAGCCAAATCAGGTGCACCGCGCCACCGCAAGCTTAGTCAAAACCCTTAGAGTTATATATTCACGCGGCTTATCGTCGTCGGCGACATCAAATGACGCAAATGAAAGAGAAAAAAGTTAGATGTTCCAGAAATGACGAGGAATTTTATTAGACCCGAAGTCGTAGAATTTTCAAGTTCCTGAAAGGTTCATCTTTTAAAACCTGAGTCAGGGCTTAAATATATCAATAGAAAAGCCGCGTAGCGGCTTTTTCAAAACAAAGCCGCATCGCGGCTTCGTAAGAATCTGTTTATTTATTTCAGAGATAATATTGCGAAGCCGCTTTGCGGCTTCGTCTTTAGAGAAGCCGCTAGGCGGCTTTATATTTGACATATCTCAGCCCTGACTCAGGTTGAGGTTGCCGTGCAGTTTCTTAAATTACCGATGATTTTTGATAATTTCCCTGAAAACGAAAGCCCGAATAAGCGACACCAAGCGAGCAAATTTTGTTTTCTCGAGTGCCTGGAGGACTCCTTCTGCTGGAAGAATTCTACGTTAAAAGAAGAATAATCTCAAACAACGTGATTTTTTGTGCAACGTTTTCCACGAAAGTCCCTAACACTCAGCTCCTAAAAACTCGCCCTCTTTCATCTTCATCGCTTCCTCCAAGAGGTGCCATTAACTGCTTTCTGATGGAATGTCCCACGTTTGATCTTTTTGGAACCCACTTTTTCGCGAAGTCATTATTTTCGAGGCCGCAAAAATGTTCATTTTTGGATCTTATCGCTTCCAAAATAGACCAGATTCGCGCAAAATTACGTGAACGGAAGGATTCAAATATAGAATCTTTCAAAAATAACCATTCCTTAATTTTCAGAAAAAAAACTCATTCAACCGAAATATATAAAAACTCTCTAAAAGCCAAATTTAAGAAATGACAAATTCTATTTGATGTTTCCGCGTCAAACATTTCCGCAGAAATTACCGGATTATTTTGTCGTTGTCGGTTGAATTGAGCTAGAATCAACCACCAAAATTAACCCTACCCACACATATGCTCAAATAATTTAGGTTAAGGGTACCACTATCGATTTCCCAAATTTTGGCCTTGAATAAATCTGAACTTATGAATGCTTGAGCTTACTCTCTGATGTCTTTAAGCAGATCTTTCCTAGATCCTTAATCTGCCAGAGCCGTTTTCTATTTTCTCAATAAAAAGTTGGCTAAATCTCAGAGAAAGGATTTGATAATTTGACTTTAAAATGGACTTTCGCGAAGCAAAACGGCTTCTTTTTTTATTAAAAGCCGCTATCAGGATTCCTACACAGGTTGCCGACCCTAGCTTTTTTCATGAGAAAGAGGAAGTGATCAAGTAATCCTCCATAAAAAAAAACGTGGAAAAGGAATGGCTCTCTCGAAGATTATGCAAGTATAAAACAGCACAAGAATTTGCTCGTTGAAAATGTGCAGGTAAAAGAATTAACATGCCAATACGGTTCTTTTTTTTTTTCGCGCAATTCGCGATTTGCGGTCACAAAAAAGGTTAAGCGCCAATTTTCATAATAACAGGCCACTAAAACTTCGGGTTAACAAGATTTTACCAGCTGCGAATGTCTCTCACTTAACGTTAATTAAATTACATGATAAGCTGATAAGTTGATTTCTCCTTAGCAAGGTATTGTCATTTGTTCAAAGAGCTAGAATAGCGGGATTAGCCCCTCGTAATAATCGTTCAATAAAAGAGCCCGTCCTTTTTTAGAAATCCTTTCTAGGTACCCATTTGCCCGGGCCGAAGCAACAGTTATCCAAGTCCTTAAGAAATCAACTCGAGTGGGTCCTTCCGTTCCTCGCAAAAACAAAAGCAAAAGTAAGAGCGAATTTCTGCATAAATTTAACAACAGGCAGGGAGACTGTATAAACTCTGCATATTTCAATATTCTTGATATTCCTGTATCTCTTTAAAAAGGTCAATTTCTGTCCAAAAATCTGAAGTTAAATCATAGCAGCATGAATACTTGTCAGATTGGAGTGACATTGGACATTGGACATTTTTGACGTTAGACATTTTGACATTCTCATTTGACATGACGGAAGTACCCTCTCTCAAGACATGAGCCACTTAATTTTGCGCAAAACTGATTGAGCCGACTTTTGACTCGGCTAGAAACAGGATTTTATATATCTTTATTTAGAAAGGATGTGATCGCTAAGGATGTATGTTTAGGGGGGGTATCTTATCGAAGGTTCTATGAACACATTCTTCTTTAAAACAAGCGATAAAAAAGCCCCAGCGAACACTTTCAAGTACTGATATGCCTAACGGGTTAAATATTTTGCTCAAGATATGGCGCAATCTAACATAAAATGGCTAATTCAGTATTTTTTCTTAAGGGTATCCACAGCGATTTCGAAGGAAACTTTTTCATTGCGTATGACTTCATTCTTAAGGGTGTACCCCTTTTATTTGACACAATTTTGCTAAAAAATGAAGGGATCAAAAGAGACGTTTCTTTCTAAGGGTGTACCCTTAAGACTAAGTTGTCTTTTGTATCATTTTTTCAGAGGAAATATCCTTAAGTCCAGGTAAACTTTCCTTGATAGTTCTTTTAGAAAATGAAATACCCTTACAAGTAAATGTTGATTCTGGTGGTAGTACTTGACCGAAGAGGAGGCCCTTAGTCAGAAGACGGTTGATGGAAAAATTTGAAGAAGGATGTAAGTGCGTTAATGTTTAGTACGTCGCTGAGCCGGAAGAATCATGTCGGAAGGCTCGCGTCTCGAAGTTATAATCCATCACGTTGAGTGAACAATCATCCGATTCCGAGGCAGACAGCCGGAATTCGAAAATACAGTTCAAACGATTCGGCAATTTTTAGTTTTCCTGTACTGCTCATTTTTGTTTGTTTTTGATATGCATTTTCTCTTTTGCAGGTTTATTTCAACTATTGGCTGCCGAGCTAGTAAATGCCTTCTGATTGGCTCAATTCAAAAATTGCCCATTCGAACTCTATTTTTACTTAAGGCTCTCCCTACGATATTCTTTCCTGCCTTTTTTGCCTTTTTTTAAACCTGTTCTTGAAATTCTACCCTGAAAACCAAACTTACCAAGAAGAAAAGCGCTCCAAAAAGAATTCCAAATCCGAGGTTACAGCAAAAGCAGCAGCTTTCAATAATTGGTTCATCATCGTCTTCGTCATCATCATCTTTGGGCGTCAGCTGATCTGGTGTTCCTCCACGGTCACGCAGATCCGGCATGATGCAGTGCGGATTTGCAAAGTTCTAGGGAAGTTTTTAGCTTGTTTTTTTGCTCAATATTCGAGGTACAATAGTAACCTCAAGGGCCAAAGAAAATAACTTGAATGTTTTTCCTCTTGATTTTTTCCTTGGTAAGTAGTTGTTTTAATTATTGATAAGCCAGTTGCGTGAAAAAGGAGCAAGTTAGTCAATAAGTTGTGAAATTCTTACTCTCATTAGAAGAAAAAAATTGAGTGCCGATTTGCGGTAGGTGTGTTTACCCTAAAATTGGATAACAATTTTCATTCATTCAAGAAAAAAAATTGTTTTCAAAGCAACTTTTGAATTATAAATGTTACTTTTTGCCCTGGTTTCGTTCTTTATTGAACAATTTTCGATAATTTTGTTTGCGATAAAAATATGCTTTTCATTTTTTCTAGCGCAAGAAACCGTCTAAAACAATTGTTTACGCGTTCAAGTAACACGCGAAAATGACAAAGCCTGCTTGAAAAAATGCATGTTTTCGTCGCTAAAACTGGCTTAAGTCTCCTTTTTTTCTTGACTTGACTATCTGAGGTAAGCGTTAAAATGAATTTCCCGTTTTGCGACGTCCGGGCTACGTAATCCCAAATGAGGAAGAAAAGCGGTTTTTTCTTGGGGCGCTTCTAAAATGAATTAGAACAGGATTTGACGATAGCGCGCGGTGGAGAAATTGGCGAGAACATCCGGACGCGGCGAAAAAAGGATGAAAACGACAAGAAGGGAATGAATGATCATGTTTTCTACTTGTTTCTTATCTTATCTTATGTAAGGAGGAAAATGTAACTATAAATCATTTTCGAAATCCGGCGAAAATAATTGATGAAAATCGGGTCTTAAAATGTAATAATCCCGCGAAAAAGAAGAAAAGTTTCTCTTATTTTTTTTTTGAAAATCTGATTGGCCAACCAGGCAAAAACTGACATCTAATTTGGGGGTCATGTCACGAATCGAAAAAAAATTCGACAACTTTTGTTTGGAAATTTTCAACCAATCAGAAGCCCGGACTTGGCTGACCGGCCAATAAGCAGTCGAGTAGCCGCCCACGCAAAATTTGTCGAAATTTTTTGTCGGTTCCTGGCGCCACCCCGAAATTAGATAACAGTTTTTGGGGATGGTGTCTGGAACCGACAAAAAAATTTCGACAAATTTTGCGTGGGCGGCTACTCGGTTTCTGATTGGTCGATTTGCCGAATCCGGGCTTCTGGTCGGTCAAAAAATTTCCACGTAAAATTTGTCGAAATATTTTTGTCGGTTCCAGACACCTCCCCAGTTTTTGGCTGGTAGGCCAATCAGATCTTAGAAAAAATAGCGAAATTTTTCTATTTTTTTCGCGCTCTTTTTGTTGATTCAAGCCATCGTCCCAAAAGGATTTTTTGATAATAAAAGGTATAAAAGAACATTACCTGTCCAATATAACCAGGCGGCGGGAGAGGAAAGCGAGGTGGGCTCGGCTCCGATCAGTTCAGAAACAATTCAAAAAATGAAAAACAGAAAACAAAGCCGCTGCTCGGAACGCAACGTTAAACAGGTTTACGAAATAAGCGGGTCTAAGCTGCTCAGCTCCACGTTTGGGCTAACTGCGCTTGTGCTTTTCGCGCGAAATTGTGTATTTCTAGCCCTTCAGACTTTCAGCGTCCAAGGGTCTGTTCTAAATGCACACTCGAGGAGTGCTTTTTATTACTTAACTTTTTGGGAACAAGTTTTTAAGTTAATTTTACGACCAAAAAATAACCAAAAAGCTTTGTTTTCATTTTATAAATGACCCTTTTGGTCCAAAATCAACCTCATTATTATTTTGTAAAATAAAATCCGAAAAAAGCAAATCAAATGACTTAAATTGACTCAAAAAAGCAAGAAAATCGACAAGAAATAATAAAAAACGGGGAGGTGTCTGGAACCGACAAAAAATTTCGACAAATTTTGCGTGGAAATTTTCAACCGATCAGAAGCCTGGATTCAGCAAACCGGCCAATCAGCAGCCGAGTAGCCGCCTACGCGAATTTTTTTTGAAATTTTTTAGTCGGTTCCAAACACAATCCCTAAAAAACCGGTCAAGAATAACAAAAAATCCTGAATATGATCGATAAAAAGACAAAAATCGAATAAATGAGCAAAAAAAATCTGACCAAAAATGACCAAACGAAACTCTCATCTTTTGCAAAAAAGAAAGTGAAATCAAAAAATGCGAAATCCGTACTAGGACCGGCGGCGTGTAAGATTCCATAAATGATCAAACACGTCCCTCCTCCATATTTTCGTCCATCCTTTCTTGTTGAAAAAGGAAGAAGCTTACTCCCGCAAAACGACGTTTCATCTGGAGCAAGGGACACACACACGCATTCCGAGGACAGTTGGCACTGAATTCCACTAAAATAAGGAATTCACTCACGACGTCTGCGCAGGTGTTCATCTGACGAGCCATCGCTTTTCCCGTATTTTTTAGCCGCAAAGAAATGATCAGCTTGATAATTTGGCGGTAACGCCTTATTTAATTTCTTCAAATAAAATTTTTACTCTAATTCGAAGACAAAAATTAAGGGTGTAACCATCGATAAATCTTGACCCGACATACCTGAGTCAGGGTCATTAAAAGCTTTAAAAGACCCTGACTCAGGTTTTTTACACATTCTGCCCAGTCAAGGTTAATCGATGGTTGCACCCTTAATTTTTGTCTTCGAAAATTAAAGTAAAATTTTTTGTTGAAAAAAAAAAATTTGGCGTTACCGCCAAGCCACGTTTGATCGACAGCTCTATTGCTCAAAACGTCGTTCTTTTTGACTTTTGCGGTGCGAATTCAATCGAGCACGAGCTCTTATCGGGCAATTTCTAAAATGATGCGTCTAATGAGATCCGGCGTGTTTTTTTCTTTGTGTGATCTATCTTACAACCAAGAAAGAGATGGGCTCATTTTTCTTCTCGTTTCGAGCGAAAGAAATCGAAAAGTTGTTGATGCTTCTACTTGTTCTTCTTGCTGGATAAGAGGATCTAGTAATGAAAATTTGCAAATGCAACCATTGTTAGATTCAAATTGTTAATGTTTTGTTTGGATCAAAGAGGAGCTTAGGGTTTTCGACTGTTCGCTAGAAAGGATGACTGAATTAAATATAAGGGTTCTAAGTCTTAACAGTATTTTCAACCCTTATTTTACCAAAACGACCAAACTCTTTTTTATAAAAAAGGCTCGAAAATACTATTTTTTGCAAAAGATAATCTTAATTTGCAAAATAAAAGAGAAATTGAAGAAAAAAATGCAAATAAAGAGTTTTCTTTTTGAAGAAAATTTTCCGGTGTGTTCACTAGACAAATCAAAATTCACTTCTTATGACCTGAGTACTTCCGCTGGGTCGTATTTAATGCGTTCCAGCAGGACCTTTGCCTCGTGGATCTAACCTTTTCTTCTTCGAAAGGTAGTGCATCACTCTACTCTTCTATCTTTGAAAAAACACATTCGAAAGATTTGAAGAATGCGCGCTAGAATTTGCAGACGAAGAATTAAATCATTGCCGCCATTTTTTCTCATTTTTTCATGCGTAAGAATTTTAGATTGAATCAGATAGAAGCCATTTTACGCGCTCAAATCATTCTTACTAAGATGACCCTAGATTCTTTTACGAAAGACTAAGTTCACAATTTGTATTCAAGCGATATTGATTTCGGAACATTCGGGGACATTCAAGAACATTTGGGACATTTGAGACATTTAGAGCCATTCGGGAGGTTATAGATATTCAGAGACATTTGAGACATCTGGGGACATCATGGACATTCACAGACATTTGAGACATTCGTAGTCAATTGGGAGATTCAGTGACAATCATGGACATTCGGGAAATTTGAGATATTCGGAGACATTTGACACATTTGGGGATATTCGAGACATTCACGGATATCCGTAGACATTCAGGACATTCACGGACATTTGAGACATTCGGAGACAATTGGGACATTCAGGGACATTCGGTAGATTTGAGATATTCTGAGATATTTAGGACATTTGGGAACATTTAGGGACATTTGGTTACATAACAACCAAGAATTTGGTCTATAAGAAAATGAATTCTCGACGTAAACCATCTTGTCTCAAAACTATCCTCTAAAACAAACTTTTCGATCGCCCTGAACTTTCCTTCCCGGAAGAAGTCGGTTCGAGTTCACGTCTCGTTAATTATCCCCATCGTCACCCTTAGAGTCTACCGGCTGTCCGCAGGTTGTATCCGTGCTGGTCGCGCTTGAGGTGTCTCCGAATTTTCTTTTTTGCCTCTTAATTAGGCTTGGCAATTTCGATTTTGAACCGCTCCTTTTCGAGGATCCTCAGCGAAATTTTCGAAAATTAAAATTGCATTTCAATCAACTCATCTAATCCTGCCAAATCGAGACAGCCAAGATCGTTAAACTGACGCAAATACGCGTCCCAAAGCTCTTGCGAGTGACGTTCAACGCTGCCGAGTTTGGAGAGGCCGGGAACGCTTGGATAAGTCAACTTTCAGACTGACGGCCAGGGATGGCGAATCGAGACAAATTTCGACACGAAAAAACAATTTTGTAAATTTTTCTCGGTTTTTCGACAATCGAAATCGACAACTTTCCGAAAAAAAATTCAGCGAAATTTTCGACCAATCATTGGGCCGGATTTGGGGTGACCGGCCAGAAGGAAGCCAATCAACGCTCAGTTTTGAAAAAATTGTCGCCCGGAAAAGTTAAAGCCTATTAAAGTCTTCTTCTTTCAATTGAACTAGTCCCGAACTACAAGAAAAAAACGCGTCCTTAGATTGCGATATCTCTTGTCAGAAAAATTGACGACAGCGTTAAAAAAAGTTGAACCTGTCTCTAAACAACGTTTTCCCCGTTTTCACTGATGACTATCAGTAAACGTTGTGGCCTTTTGGAGCGTTTTGTTTCCTTTTTCGCTTTATCGCGAAAAATTTACTTTATTTCAAATAAAAAAACCCCCTTAGCAACGCAAAAAAAAGACTAACGGGTGAATATTCCGGAAAAAAGCCCTTTGGAAAATGCTCTCTTTCGCTAGCAATAACACCACTCTCGAATCTAAAGTCTTTCAATTGCATTCGAAAGAATAACTTTTCGCTTTTTTATCAATTTACGAAAAAACAGAGTCCAAGAAGGGCGGAAAAATTTTAAACAAAGAAAAAGCTGAAGAAAATTCCGGGGTTATTAGGGACACTTCACTTTGTTTCAGAAGCTCATTTTTAGAGAGTGAGTTCTGAGACAATTTCACAGCTCCGACTTCATCATTTTCTAGCATTTTTTTCCAAGAAAATACGGTTAGGGACACCCTTATTTTATTTAACACATATAACTCAAATAAATTTATGAGTCATATCAGATGACTCATATATGTGACTAATTAAATGACTCATATATATGACTCATGTATGACTTATTACATGACTCTTATGATAAGACGATGAAACCCTTAGTCAAACAAAAATCGACAAAGTCCTTCACTTTTTCCCTCAAAGAGTGTTTTTCAATGCCCTTGACCATAATCTGGCGGTGAGTTTCCGGCGGTTTGGCCTTGGAGAAAACCGGATTAGTGAAGAAATTGACATTGTCTTCAAAACGTGCGGTGGTGCAGCACTAGAATCTCTTCAAGAATCCGTTTAAAATGACCGAGCTCCTAATTCCCGTGTCAAGTTTATTCTGTAACTTTTTCGCTTCTTTTGGCACCCGGCGTTTCCGGGACTGCTTCCGGGAATGGGTTAAAAATTGCGCAAAGAGTGAATTTTTTGTGGAGCTTTTTTCCTTATTGGGGGCTCGAACCTATAGTTATTTTCAATATTTTTCAAGAAAAAACCAAATTTTAACCCATCCGCGTTGTTTCGCCAATTTTTTGTCATACCTCTCAAAAGGGGTTAAATTGCTTTAAAATAAGCGCGGATGGGTTGAAAATATCACACTTTTTCTTCGAAAAATTTATCTTCAAATCCGATTAGTTACTTAACATATTATTCAGCTTAGCTTTAGTTAAAACCCAAATCCGATTTTTTCAAAAAACAACTCGTTTAGACCCCAATAAGACACGTGATTAAATCGCCAAGTTAGAGTCAAAAAAACGGACTGAGTAATTTTAATATGGGACAACAATTTTAATCATTTTAAAATCAAACATGCGGAATCGAGATTGAAAAAAATGCGACGCTGACACGATCGAATTTACAAAATATGTTTAGAATCGACTTTCTGAATAGGTTATTATTTCCAAATTTAATAATAACATTTCCGGGAAGCAACTTAGCGGATTTCTAATAGAACTATTGTCAATAGTCTATTGATCAGAGGACTTTTTACTTCATTTACGTAAGTATTTCGAAAAGCACGAGTTATAAATAAGTTTTTCGCTAAAAAAGTGACACCCTTCTTAAAAAATAATCGAAAAATGTTAGTTTCAGCCCCAAAAAATAATACACGAAAAATAAAGTTCTAATTTTTTAAAAAATTTTTTTATAAAAGTCTTTTATAAAAAAGCCTCACGAGAGACCTTCAAATAAGCTTTAAAAAATTGTAAAGAAAGATCATTTTTCATATTGTATTCGATATTTTTTTGAAAAAAATGGACTCAAAAATTTTTAAAAGAAAAATCGTTTGATGTTTCTGAACTTTTCCTGAAAGCGTCTCTCCTCATCCTGATCTGGCGATGCGCATTGGCGTACCGCCGATCCAGGAAAGGGCAAATTTTTTTCAATCATAAATTGTTTTTTCTTCTTTCCAAATGTTCTTATCTCTCAGATTATCTCTTGAGATGAGTTCTGTCTCTTTTCCGAAAAAAAATTATAAATTTTTCTTTGCTCTTGATTTCAGTTGATTTTGCGTTTTTGGGTCAACCCCTAAACCGCAATTGAGAAAAAAAAATTACACAACGAGTTGCTCAAGATACAAAGTACAAAAAAACTATTCAAGGGAGCAAATTTTCGGCCATGATGGTTACGCGCAGTACTGCGCGGAACTTTGCCCGCTAGCGCCACCTTATGCGCTCGATGCGTTGTCACGAGCAAGGAGATTTTCAAAAGGGGAGCTAGAGGGTCGATTCTTTCTGAAAGGCGCTATAGGATTAATTGTGAGTTAATGCTGTTGTTATAATTAAGCAAATTTATTAATTTTATTAAATAAAAAAATATTTAATAGCTTATATAATCAGCGACCTTTTTTCATTTAAAATTTTCATTAAACCTTTAAAAATATAAGTCGGCCAATCAGATCTGTGTATAAGGCCGCTGCACCAATCAGATTTCAGAAAAAAAATGAACTTAGATGCGATATTTTCTGCTCTAATTTTGATGGCGATTCTTACGTCGAAATCAATTCTGAGATATTTTATTCGCTTCATCAAAGCTCGAGCAATATGCTGACCGTTTTGACTCCAGCAAAAGAAATAAATTGGCACTGCCTTCATTCAAGGATAAATAGTCGCCGAAGAAGAGAAAATTGATTTTAGCACGGTCAAAAAATGGAAATTGGAAAATGCGAAGGAGAGGTAAAAATCACTTTTGAAAACAAAAGAAAAGTTGTTTTTTCTAGTGCTGGTTATTTTTCTTTTATTTGATCGCCGGACTGGGATTGCTTTACGCTTCCTTCAAGCTTTTCTTAAAGGTAGTAACTTCCGCCTTCGTCGTTTTTAAACCTCCTTTAGAGATTAACAGATTGCGCTGCTCCTGAAAAATCTCAAAGGTGCCGCTAAATATATTGTTTTTGAAGGTTTCACAAATTTCTTTTTAGAGAGAAGATTCATGAGGAATTTGAGGAAATGGAAATCTACGAAAATTTCAATCCATCGATGTTGAATTTACGAGTTTTGAGAACGGAAAACGACGAAGAAAAGGCCAAAAATGAGGATGCTGGATTTTTTCCTTTGGAAATAATAAATATTTTATGAAGATAATTCTCTGATTTTCAGAAAAAATGGACGAAACGAATTTCTGGAAGTGAATTTTCGGATAACCAATAAGATTGCTGTATTTTTCCTGATGGCCAATCAAAACCCTGATCCATAAATTGGTTTGACCCGAAAAAATGGATTATAGGCGAAAGTTTTTTTGATAAAAAATTGAATATTCTCAATTCAAAAAACTATCGCCCGCCTCAAAAAGCTGGGCCTCATTTGTGAAGTCGTTATGCAAATAACTTGCATTTTTTTTCGAAAATTTCGCTTTCCCAAATGGCCGGTTACAGGTTCGATAATCGACGCTGGTGGAGCCGATAATAATACTACCGCTCCTCCCGGAATCGCGAAAAAGAGGGATCAGAGGCGGAGACACTTGGAAGTAGTTTGCACCTGAAATGGACACATCGCTAATTCTAGGGTTGGTGAAACTGGACAGCGAGTGACATCTTCTACACTTGGGAATGTAAATAGTTGGTTAATACAATTTTTAGTTTCTTGAAAAAGGAAATGGTTGATTTAGGGCTAAGTGTTAGGGACCCTAGCTTAGGGCTTGACCTCTTACATAAGGGGAAACCCGTTGAAAAAAAAACATTCTAGAGCCGCAAAAAACATACTTTCGCAATTTATTAGTGACCATGTTTCTCAAAATGAGTTGAATAACAGGCCCCGCTTTTTCGATTATTTTTTCAATATTTTGCGGTTCTCTAACTCAAGAGAATTCTCGAAACAATCCCATCCAAAATACCGCACGAGCCACTATAGAAGGACATGTATTTTATGAGCACAAAGCAGAATAATTTTGTTGAATTCGAATTTTGCGTTTTATGAAAGTGCTGAGAGGGCCGTTTTAAAAATTATCGATCGAAATTTCTGTTTTCTCTGAAAACTAACATATATGTGAGTGACAGTGTCACTGTGACACCCTTATTTAATGAAAAAAAGAGGATCATCTTTTGTCACCTTACTTGAGTCCCTATCCTTAACCGTTGCTAGCCCCTAACGATTAAGGTTAGTGACTCAAGTAAGGTGACAAAAAATGACCCCCTCTTCGTCATAAAATAAGGGTGTCACAAACTTATTTTAATTTTCAGAGAAAACAGTAATTTCGATCGATAATTCTAAAAACGACCTTAAGAAAAATATTTTCAGCGAAAATTTGAAATTCTTAAGGGTGTATGTCTCGTATATTCGGCACGTTTTTAACCCGTCCGGAACATTTCCGCTAGCGATCTGGGCGGACGTTTCTTCTGCTACGCTTTTTAGTTGAGCTGCTTAGAAATTTACGGTATCCACTCCGCAAACGAATAGTTAGCAACGCGGAGCTGCTGATAAATGCTGACAATGGTTCCAAAACTGCTATTTATGATAAGAAGAAAAAGAAGAGACGAAGACAATGGCCAAGAATTAACGCCGTTTTAGAAGGGTTCACGAAAATCGGCTCAGAAGATTACGCGCTACGTATCGATAGGGTTAGGTTTTATTTGATAAGCCTCTTACTGATAAGACTATCGAAGATTGGGAAGGTATTCGATTTACTGAAGATACTCTCTTATCGCTTCTTTTCTTGATATTCTAACAACACTGAAGTTGGCGGCTGAAATTAGAAGTAAATTTCATAAGTTTTTTTCCGAAAAAGACTCAGCTCTGCTCAACTTGGTTAAAGTATTCAGAAGCTGTGGAAATCGCTTTTTTGCTCGCTCGCCGGCCGCATATTGCTTTTGACTTCGAAATGAGTTTAGTCAAACCTCGCTCGGATCATTGGGTAATCACGTGCATCGAGCTGAAGTGAAACAGTATCAGAACGTGTGCGGGAAAACTCCAAGCCTTGAAAACGGGGGAATTCTTTCTCTAGAAAAATTCATTTCAAGATTGAAAAGAACCTCAATTAAAATCATCTCGTATTAACGAAGTCCCGTCTCAACAATAATAAATAACAGGTTCAAGTGCTACATGACCCGAAATCTAACTAATTCCATGCAGCATCCGGGGAATGCTGCTTGCTCAATTTTTTATAATTGCAATTGCAACTTTTTTCTTTAGTAAAGAAGAAAAAATCAAAATTGTCTCTGATTTTTCTTCTTCCGGCCACGATGAATATTTGTCAGCCAGCTCAAAGGCCGCTTAAAAATCAGCGATAACGCTTATCAGTACTTTTTATCAGCGTGTGATGATCAAGCTCCTGAATTTTTTAAAAATTTCTCCCCCTTTTTTTGAAGAAAAACACTTTGGCTTTTGTTCGCATCATCCCCAAATTCTACGTTGGGTTCGTGTTGAAATCAGCTTATTTGCCTTCCCTTGGAGGGGAGACTTCCTAACTGAATGTTGTCCTTATCAAAAAGTTGAAAGAGGATTACGTTCTAAGGGATAAAAAGGGAGGAAGAAAAGAGGAGGGCGTGAACTTTAAGATAAAACTGTATGTGCGTCAAAACTGTTGTTTTAGTTATTCAGGTCGGCGAAAACAAATGGGAAGTGATTGAAAAGTGTTCTGGATCGAATCCGGAGCATATGTTAAATACGTTTCTTTGTGTATAAAAGAAAGTTCCCAGAAAGCGACAGGCAAAGATGAATTTTTCGACGCTTTTATTTCTTATTTTTCCAAAAAGCGAAACATCAGTTGCAAATTTTTACGTTGAAAACAACGAGCATTCAATGTCCGATTTCATCGAATCAAGACGAGAAGCGATCGACTACCAAAAACGACTCGTTGACTATCTTCAGCGACTTCCTGGAATGCCTGATTGGGTTATTTCTGCTTCACAATTTCCAATAGGAAGAAAATAAATCCGCCATTCCTAAAGCTGCATTTATCAAACTTGGACTTTGATTTTTTCAAAAATATTGAATTACGTTCGGACGCGTCAGAACTTTTATTATTTTTGAGTACGATTTTTGATTCTAGTGAATACAAACGGAACTAGAAGCTCCTCTGGACAGTAAACAATTTAAGAAATGACTCAAAACAGCGTGGTCGGTTGGGACTGATAGGGAATCCGTTATCAGCGATTTAGACGATTCGAGATCGACAGATATTCAGTACAAACTGATTGAAATGCAAAAAAATGTAGCCAAGTTGTTAAAAAAGGGGTTTAACCAAAATATTGAAGGGATTTTGTGGTTCAGGGTTTTGATTGGCCCGTAGGCCAAATACAGCTATCTTATTGGTCAATCAAAAAATTCACTTCCATTTATTTTTTTGTCCAGAAAAAGTTCGTTTGCATAGATTTGAAGTTCAAATTTTGAACTGTTCGAATTAGAATATATTGGCGAGAAAAATTAATGGACGATAAGATTCGATAATGGGAATAGTCAATGAACCTCTTGACGCCTGAATAAAACGGCACGTTGGAACATCTAGGTAGATTTGAAAAAAATTCCTATTGAAATATGCTGATATTGTTTCTCTTTTTTTTGGAATCGAATCACAAGCTTCAATTGCAAATTTCTTCGAAAAAAGCCAACTCTTTACCCTGACCGATTATATCAAAACAAGAGAAAGAGGAATTCAAGCGCAGAAAAAATATGTTTTGAAGCTTCAAAATCTTCCTGGCCTGCCTGATTGGGCCTTTTCTTTCAAATAAAATATGATCAAAAAATTTCAAATGAAAAACTGTTGTTTGAAAGCTGGAACAACCATTTTTTCTTGGTAAAACATGACCCTGTGTCGCTTCGTCACTTAGTGAGAGAAGAAACCGCATTTTGACAAGTTACGTTAGAATCTCTTAACTCAAAAATATCAAATAAGAGATGACGGCCTTTCGCGGTTTTTCACTTGTTTTGAAAGAAAACTTCAGACACCCTGTTTGATGC